TCGATTTTGATTGGCTAAGAGCGACGAAAAAAAGATTAGGCCGGAATTACTCATAATTTTACTAATGAAATCATAGCTGCCCATTAAATAAAAATTGTTCCTGGGCCAATTTTACCATAATGCGGGCTTATTATTTAAGAATTTCTATTTTTGTAATAAAAAGATTAAAAAGTTAATTCCGGCCGGAAATTTGTAACCAATTTTGTAATGTGGGCCAAAATTTCGAAGATCCCGACCGTTAGCCAATCAAAATCGAGGATCTGCCGGTCCAAATTTGTTGCGGCAGCTATGGTTAATGTAAAATACCACATTGGACTATACATTGAGATCATAAAGTAATTCAATAAAATGTTTATTAATTAATTCATGTGAACTACACTACATTTGATCAGAAAAGATTCTATACTGTATTATTTATTTAAAAATAATTGCCAATTTATGTATTTACGGTAAATATTTTGATATTAATTATACTAAAAAATGCCAAAGATTTTAGATACTTTAATAACAATTTTTCTTTGGCAACACGAAACCCTATAATATATCAAGTGCTATAAATGGCATGATTAAATGGGGTATTTTAATCGCATATCTCTACGCAAGCAATATCGCAATGAATCGGTTTTGCAGTAGCACATGCGGGACAAGAAAGTCGACAACCTAGAAAAAGACAAATAATATTAGAGCGTGTCACATATTACGAATTCATATTTTATCATATTTGTAAAAAATCTTAAATTACTTTTAGTAGGAGTTGGCACAGGGCGAGCATTGGTTTGGGCAATTAACACCAAAGCCATGACCAAAAAAACGAGAAAAACGCTCACTCTAAATTTCTATACATATTTATATTAATAAAAAAAAAACTTAATTTTAAATTAATAAATTTTTTATCATAAAAATTAAATATCTACCATTGTGTGAATATATTCTTTGAAGAAAATAATATTTGATGTATTTTTTTTTCAAAATTTAAGCACCTTATTTTTTTGAAATAAATCGAAGTGTTAAAATTTTTACACTTTTTATAAATTTACATAAAGATTATGTCTTTTCTAATTGGTTCTTTGTAATAACCTTCAGATTCTTAGTTAATAATCAAACAGTTATTAATTGAATAATACGTAATAAAATTTGTACTCTTACGAAATTCAAAGATAATTTTTTATTATAATTTCATTTAGCTGCGCCACTATTATTAACCAAATCGAGTTAATATCTAGCATCAATAATTAACACTAATTTACACTATACAATTAGTTATTACGCTATTGTTTATGTAAATATCCGATTAACTCCTTCGAACGCATTTAGCAGTATTTTTAATTTCTGAATTATTTAAACAAATTTTTTTAATTTCTAAATTCCGTAATTCAAAAATGGTCATGACACGAGCAACAGCTTAATCAAATTTGTTAATAAATGTGACAGCTGATGCTGATTTTGGCTGATGTTGAAGATCATGTGACATTTTGGTCCGGAAATTGCAGATCGGAAAATTTCAAAACAAA